GCCAAGCGTTGGATGGCCTCTCAGATGTTGCTGGACCACTGCCCACACCTGGCTGTGGAACTCCTGGTTGCACACCTGTACCTGAACCCAGATCCTTACCTGGTGCCCCACACTCCACACGTGACTCTACTCAGATTCCTGCACCTCTTAGCCCACACGGACTGGAAAACTACCCCCATTTTCGTCAATCTCAGTGAAGCTTTCACAGGTATGTTTGTGTTAAATGCTCTCTGGCTTCTGGTAGATAAACATTTCACAGGCTACATGCATATTAATATGGCAGTAATGAAGTAAAGGACACATTTTACGTGAAAAAAGTTGATTCAGATATAACAGACCTCAAAAATTATGAATGATAAGGAAAGTTGTATTCATTTGTACTCATTCTTTATTTTTGCTGAGGTGTTATTTTCTTGCCAAGAATATATATAGTAAGATACTTGCAATTTTCAGGCATGCTTGATATGATATACATTGCATTGATATACATTGCATATATGTCCTTAGATATAGATAGGTGGGCAGGCGAGTATGTATGTATGTACTATTTCAGTTATTCAATTATTTATATATACATACATTGTAGTGAGCAGGCCTTAAAAGATAATTTATGGAAATGCTGTTTTTGCCAGTTAACACTGCAGCAAGTGTTGTTTTGGACAGGTTCATAGGAAATAATTAACTGTATTTCAGAGACAAATAAACTTTTAGATGTTATGAGAAATTATGAGTTTAGATTGATAAGGCTTTTTTGTGTGTGGAACTAGGTATGTAAATTGCAGACTTTGATTGACGTAATGTTATTTTGACAATGGCTATACTCTGCAGTAGACTATATATTATTATTATTTTTGTTATTGTTATTATTATTACCATTATTATTAAAATTATTATTATTATTATTATTATTATTATTATTATTATTATTATTATTATTATTATTTATTATTGCGATGCTGTTATTATTATTATTGCATTGTTGTTATTATTGCTATGGTTATTATTATTATTATAATTATTATGCTTATTGTCATTATTATTATTATTATTAACCCATTCCCACTGGGCATGCCATGCCATGTTAGATTGTTTTCACACATAGATGGCTACACTTGTACTAAATCACCAATGAGCCAACTACGAGTACCACCTGTCTTGCCCGTTCACCTTTTTCTTTGATTTACAAAATATTTTACGTTATCTTATTTTGCTGTTACTAATGTTAAAAAACATTGTAAAAATCATAATGTTTATAATGTTTATATTATTATTATTATTTTTATTACTACTACTACTACTTTCATTATTATTATTGTTATTGCTGTTATTATTATTGTTATTATTGTTGTTGTTGTTATTGTTATTATTATTATCATTTCTGTTATTATTATTGTTATTGTTATTATTATTTCTGTTATTATTGTGATTATGGTTAATCTTATTATTAATAATAATTTCATTATCATTATTGATATTATCATTATTAGTCTATTATGATCTTTATTATTATTATTATTATTATTATTATTATTATTATTATTAGCATTTTTATTATTATTTTTGTTGTTGAAATTATTATTATAGTAGTCATTATTGTTACTTGTTGTTGTTGTTCTTGTTTGTATTATTATTTTTATTGTGATAATAATTATAGTTATATTGTCATTGTTATTATTATTATTCACATTATTATTAGTATTATTGTGCTCATTATTATTATCATCATTATTATCATTATTGTTGTAGTTGTCGTTGTTGTCGTCGTTGTCCTTCTTGTTGTTGCTGTTGTTGTTGTTATTATTATTATTTTTATTTTCTTTATTATCATTATTATTGTTATTATTGTTATTATTATTATTATTTTTATTATTATTATTATTATTATTATTATAACTATTACTCTTATTATTACTATTACTATTACTATTGCTATTACCATTTACTTCATTAATATTTTTTTTCCTGGCCAGTATTAGTGTATATTATGTTATCATTTTCCTACTCAGTTGAAGACCAGGCAGAACTGAGCCGCAGGTTTACAAGTCAACGTGAGTCCCTCCCATCCATGTTCATTGCAACACCCCATGAGCTGCGACCTGTGGCTGATCCTGACAACCCAGAGGATGTTAATCACCGCTACAAGTTAGCCTCTGTTTGGACCAAGAGTGAACCCACGTTGCTCATCGTCTATCGCATGAAACAGCTGGCAGGGGTAGCGCTGTCTCTTATTAGTGAGAGTGTATTCAGTTCTCAGATGGATTTCACGGTAAGTTGTGTGGGTAGAAAGATGGAGATATGTGTTGTGAAGTGGGACATGTTGGTGGATTTTATTTTGATTGTAATAGTTTTGAGTTTGAGGATTATTATTATTTTTTTTTTTCTAATTATTATTATTTTTTTATTATTATGATTTTGGATTTTCAAGTTTATACACAATCTAATAAATATTTTATAGCCATGCTATGCTGTAGGCCTCCTTTATAGGGGGCAATATATACCAGCCAGGTATCATGATTGTTTAAAGGAATAATATTTTGTGCACTTGTTACAGAGTCTCTTCAGACCATCTCTGGAAGACTTTGATGTCACCATTAAACTTAACTGTCAAGAGCTCAGTCGCCGTAAGGAGGCAGTAGACTGGAAGAATCTTGACGAAAAGAAAGACATTCCTGTGCATCAGACGGGAAACAGTACGGGGATCATGCCTGTTGTGATGTATGATGCTGCATCCATGTACTTGGAAGAACTGAAAGTAAGTTTGAAATGTGATTGGTTTACTTATTTTTCTTGGTCATCTACGGATTACGGTTGTGATATAAAGTTTGTAAGTTATCCGCTTAGAACAGGTTTTGTTAAGCTGATGGAATTTCAAATAAACTTAAATATTTCATTTTAAGTTCTGTTGAAAGTTATTTTTACTGGTGTTGTTTATTGATTGATTTATTTTGTTCATAATTGTTTTCATTAATTACTTTTTGTTTTCACAGGAAGCCTATAGCCACTTGGCCCTTTTCTTCTATGATGAACATGGAGGTGATGTGATTGGGGTTGTTTGGAATCCTAAAGCTTTATCTGCACAGGACTTCAAGGTACAGGTTCATTGGTTGGGTTTAACCCTTTGCCGATGGGCATAGCATATACGTACATGCCATGCCCACTGTGAGTCGACTTGTTTGATTGTTTTTGCACATAGATGGCTACACTTTTACCAAGTCATGAGTGAGCCAATTACGAGTACTGCCTATCTTGCCCGTTCACCCTTTTCATTGATTTATGAAAATATTTAATGTTATCTTATTTTGCTGTTAAAAATAACACCATCAATATTTATAGCACAAGTAAGAATATGTTTTTCCTGCCAATTCAAGGAAAGGTGAAATCAGGACTAGCAGAGCCATCTATGTACAGAGAAATTTCACAAAAATATAAAAGATACAGTACAGTATTTTCCCCATTTTTTATTTATTTTCCATGGCAGCAATGGGTTAAGGGAAGAATAGAATAAGCCAATAGATAGACTAATTAAAAGATAACAAGAATATAGTAATAGAACAAAGTGGTTGATTGAAAGACATGTATTTACAGTTAACTAAAGACCAAAGAGAATAACTTGGTTGATAGATTATAGACAGATAGGAAATTGACAGACATTATTCACATACTTCAAGATATATACACATCTATTTACACACAAGAATAAAAAAAAAAGAATGGAATGTTTGACAAGGCTAATATAAACAAACACACACAAACTATTACACAAGTCAGTATACACACACACATACACATTCATACACAGACACGTACAGTCTCAAAAATCAATATACACAAGGTATATTTTTTATTTATCATTTTCCTATATTCTCTCTTCATTCTCAGATTGGCGGCCTCATGGGTCATAAGCTGGTTGGTGTGAAGGAAGTGAAGCAGATTGTGAATGTGGATGCAATTATTGAAGACTTCCGAGCCATTGGTACTGGGCTTGTTGAGAGCATTAGCATAAAGAACCAGTAATATCAATTATGTAGATTATTATATTTTTGTTATTGGTTATTGTTATTATTATTATTATTATTATTATTATTATTATTATTATTATTGTATATATTTTTTTATTATTATTATTATTATTATTATTATTATTATTATTAATATTATGATTATGATTATCATTATTATTGTAATGTTATTGTTATTTTACTATTTTTTTCCAGAATTCCATAATGCAGATGTAATGTGATCGTTTTTTTATATTTTTTTAGGCTGGTGGTACTGATAGTTGTTATTTGGATAGATTTATTGTATGATGTGACAGTTATGAGATACCAAATTCTATTATTTCTTTTCCTTTTTTTGGTATTTTTCAAGATGTTCATAGAACTTTGTAAGTATATACAAAAAGGCATAAAAATTGTTACAATAAACATGATAAATGATAGTGAAATTTAATTTTCACCTTTTCAATATATTTATTTGCATTGTCTGTCCATGTGCAGTGTATATGAATATAAGCAAGGAGTCTATCAGTAGACCTTAATAAATGATCCTGATTTTCCCATTCCTTGAATTTGCGGAAAAAATATGTTTTTCTTTTTAATACAGTTGATATTGATACTGTTATTATTGTTATTGATGTTATGATTATTAAATAGTTATTAAAATCTCAATAACATTTAAGACAATGAAATAATGCAAAAGACCCTTTCCAAAAGTCGAGGTGAGATAGGTAGGACTAATAACCGACTCCTTGGTAATTAAGCACAATGTGTAAATACATTAAATAAACTTGTTTTACAGTGGGCATGGCATGTGCTCTTGCCATACATTCCGATTAGGTTAATCCCTAAGAGCAGTGACATTCATGTTTTTCTTATTTACAGTTAACAAGTTTTTGGTATAATCATGTAGTACGTAGTTTTTTTTTCATCTATTGTACTTTTTCTCCAGTTTTTGTTTAAGATTATAATGAAAAGAATTCAAGCAGGACTAAGAATACAAAATTGTTGAGCAATCTTTATTGCAAACTTTGTGTAGAAATTTAAGCATCAACAAGCACAAATATTGTGCAGTTATATTTGTAATGCATATGCAAGATATTACAGAGGATAATGTTGCAAAAGAGGCAACAAGGATCCTGGTGGGAAGTTGTTTGATGACAGAAAAATGGTATTATTTTGTGTGGGAATTCTGACCAATATGAGGTGCGTATTCTTACTCTAAATGATTTATAATAAATGTTTTACTGCATCTCTGTAAGGTAAGGAACATCATGGTACTGTAAACTATGCAAGTATTACCTAAGAGAGGTAAATTTGACAAACAAATCAACAATGACAGAAGCTAATTCAGTGAAATAATAGCACCAGGTTGGTAAATGCTGTGTCATCTAAAGGTAGCTAATAGGTTTCTATCAATATAATACTTGTTAACAGTATTCGAGTATTGTAGCACTGTCATCACACATGCAGGGCTAAAATAAGCATGAAAAAAATAGATGTATATTTACAACCAAAAGGTTAAGAAGAAGGCTCTTCAGTGTAACAAATGTGTACTATGAATTCTACAATATCTGCTAATATAATTTGTAATAGTCTACTACTGTAGAGCGCCCTTCTTTCCCTTAAAAGTTTGACAAATGGACACAGGACGTACAATTGACAGATGAATTGTGCACAAAGGCCCTCAAAGTTATAAATACTGTTTTAATATTTTTGTTCTGAATTTTCTTGGTAAGAAAATGACAGGTCCTCAATGTATTTGCTTCACACAACTTTTAAAAAATTGGAACACACAGCAGTAAGTGATTTTCTTATTTTAATCATGACTTCCTCTCTGACTGAATACCATGATGAAAAGTAAGAGAAGAAAATAAAAAATGATAAGTAAATATTTCTATAACAATCAATAACCATATTATCTATGATACACTTTAACATTATAAGCAAAAGCATTTTTGTGCTTTAGTATGGGATATGATGTGCTTTCATATAACTTACAACTGACATTCTAATGATCACAGAATCATAGTTGAACAGCATTATTTAAAATTAGTATTCTGAACAAATAACAATATTTCCTTGACACTGGGTCAGTAACTTTCTTCTTGCAACATGAAATAATCATTCTTAATAAAGATAACAAAGTGATGATCAAATGCATCCTTGTTGTTTAATGAATGGCATTAATTCAAAGTAAGAATTTCTAATGCTTAATTGATCTATAAAGCTAGCTTGAGTTCATATTATTTCTGGAAACAGAAGTCTGTCACAGTTAACTGAAGTAATTCATTATTAATATTGTAACATATTTCCCTTCTCTCAGTTTAGAAGATCAGATAAGTTGAAAACTTCTATACTTCTAAAAAATATATAGAATAGCAAGTGGCTATCTGCAATTGTAAAGGTTAGAAGCAAATTAATGACTATTATAAAAAGATCAGCTGTAAATTTGCAAGACTTATTAGCTACAAAATTGAATGAAAGGACTACAACTAGTTCTCAGTGACCTCGGCAAGTAGTATTTATATCATAGCATTAGAGTAGACCGAGATGACTCTCCACTTACTGAGAAGATATATTTTTAACTTTTTTTTTTTTTTTTTTTGCATTTTTTATTATCATTTTTTGAAATAATCATTTGGTTAACCATTTTCACTTAACCATTACATAGTGCAAGAAAATCTTTCCTTTGAAAGTGCAGCTACACAGAGCAAAACAGAAGGGAGAAAAATGTACAATGTATCTTGCAGGTGAAACTCGAATCAGCATCATTATACGGGCTTGTGATCTTTGCCCGGGAGAGGTACAGAAGCCTTTTGAAGATTTTAAGTCAAAGCTTAAAATATATATGAGATGGGATATATGAAAGTGGTTTTTGCTCTTTTTTTTTTTTTTTAGGTTGATGTTTTTGTTTTTATTTCCGAAAAGAAATAGGGGCTGAAGGCGGAATTTTTTTTTTTCTCGTATTGATGGCATTTTAACAATACTGGTGACAGCAAGGGTTACAATTGTTCTTTTGGCAAGGCTTACACTTTTAATTTACAGAGAAAGATGAGGAAAAGGGGATAAGTAATGAGATTACACTCAACATGTGTATATATGTATTATTTTTTTGTTTTTTTACAAATTTTTAGATATATATTTGTGTAGCATGTAAGTTTTCATAGACAAGCAAGAATACAAGTATAGAGATTGCTTTCGCTTTTCTTCTCTCATTTTCTTTGCAATGGCGGGGCCTTGCTATCCAGTTTTTATATTTGCTTCTTATTTTGACTGACAGCAGCATTATTTTCATCCTCCACTTTGTCCTACAGCCCCGTTATCCAGTAGTCACACTCTCCTGAAAATATGAGATTGAGCATTAATATACTTTGTAATTTACCAAGTCATTGTAGATAAAAGAAGTAGACTGTTATAATCTAAACATTCATGTGTAATTGTTAGGCTCTACATCTTGTTTCTTTAACATTAATAAGTACATTTTAGTGATTATCATTATGACTAGAAACTGAAGCATTTTAAAACATACTGGAGAAATACGCTTTTGCATGTTCATTTATTTATTTAATTCAATATTTTGACTTGGAGATCAAATATGCCTGCAGTATGGATCAGACGTCCAATTCCATTTTTAGAATAGTCAGCAATCACCTATTGTAAACATGAAAATGTAATTGTCATTTTAAAGGAAAACAAAACATTTATGCAAAACCCTGAAAAGCAATTAATGTAGATTATAAAATACACAAGGAATGAGGTGAGCACTGTGGTCTTCCATGGGCTCAACACCGCTGGTTTACGGAGTACCGTGCTAGATGTACCAAATTTTACTTACTCTTCAGGCATGCTGATGGATGTATCACGGTCCTTTTCTTCTTCTTGAGGTCTGTTCTTCATGTCACTTTCATCTCCCTTCTTTGCTCCATCTCCTTCGTCATCCTGTTCTCCCTCTTCATCGTCTTCGTCGTCAGCATTGTTAGAAGACGCGTCCTCTTGGTCAGGCGGGAGCTGGTACTGACAGCGCCTCTTCTGGCACCCAGGATACCACCAGTAGGTCACCAGACCGAGGGAGAACCCACACAGGACGTTTGGAATCAGGAGGGCCAGGATGATGCTGTTGACCTCCTTCCACCACGAGTATTCGGTGATGACCAAGTTGGGGTCAGCGCGGGAGTAATGGCAGGCGAAGACAGAGCCCTCGGGACCGTGCTTATCGGCGAAGGTGGAGCAGTTCGTTTGAGGCGGGTATCCACAAGCCTTGATGTTGATGAAAAGGGGAACACCACGTCCAACCCAAAGGTCTTCATCCATCTCGAAGCTCTCTTCGTCGTACTCGCTATAGGGAACGTGCATGTAGTCCACATAGATCTGGTCACATTCATATTGGTCCGTGGTGCATCCGTGCTTACACGATGACCAGGAACAGTTCTTCATGCTCACCAAATGATCTGTTCTGACTGTCCTGCACAACACCTGCTCTGGGTCGAAGTTAGCCATGAGAGTGGATATAGATGGATCCAATATCCACGGAATCAAGAACATGAAGATGAAGGATGAGAGACATGCCGTTGTTCCCAAGGTCAGAGTAGTGTAATACTTCAGCTTAACGGCGAAGGATTCTTCTGGTTTTTCCTCCCCTTCCATGATGCTTAGTTAGAGACACAGAAGAATACTACAAGAGTGGACACAGTTAAATGTGGCGGCGGCAGGCGGACGGTAAAGTCAAGGAAGGAAGGCAAGTAGTGTTAGTGACGGCCAAGGGAGTTAAGGGTTTAGGTGTTTGATGGTTGGTTGGCTTTCCTTGGCCTTGGTTGGAGGGAGGGAGACTTGTAGCTAATCAATCAATATCACTGAATTGCAAAAGAAAACAATTACAATTTTACAATTTGGTTGTTGTAAAGCTGGACCTGAAGGGAAGGACGAGATTGTTAACCAGAGGTCCACGCACAATAATGACAAATATTAAAAAATCCAAAGTGGCAAGTAAATCACACCATGTGCTTATACACTAAACTTCGAGTATTATACTTTTTTTAACTAGGGCTTTATACATAAACTATATAACCAGGCACTTTAAGTTTATATATTTACAAGAAAAGACTCTTACACAAGTGAGTGTATGAGTTACTTCCGTTTGCAAATGAAGGGGAGAAATCAGAGTCACTTCTCATTAGCAAGGAGTATGGATGAGACTGGAATTCTTGACTTAGCAAGTCTGTAACTTCACTACTCACAGCAAATTCTATTCGATATATATTCTACAAATGAAATATGCGTATCAAGCACGCCGATTTTGTAGTCACGTGTTTTCTTGATTATATGAAGCCTGAATTATCAAAGTGTGCTTCTATACACCATAGGTCTTCTTCCTTTAGATGGTGAAATTCACTATACTTTCCGGCTCACAGAAGATACAGAATTGGACGTCTGTCTTTATTCGATAATGAAAACAACAGCTAAAAACAAGGTCAAAATTAATCCTCTGAGCTGTCTTCGTTTATTGTGGTGTCTGGGTTGTGGAAACAGCTTAGTGTCGAAGTCCCTCGTCCCTCTTCAGTATATTCTCGAGAATGAGTGTTGGGAAATTCAGATGGAGTCGTCAGCGAGAAGTAAATGAGATCTTACTTCTGACATGGGAAAGGCGCACAACAATCCTGAAGGATTTACCCAGAATTGCTGACAGAAGTTTAAAGTAAAGTACTTAGGTCGAGGAAAGATGCTTTGTCCGAAGATGAGAGTGTATTGAGTAACAGAACTGCCATTAGAATGTCGGTCAACGGTGAGGTGTGTCAACCTGATCAAGTGACGACTGAGAGTACAATCGTTTATCACCGAAAAAAAGAGGAAACAGTGCAAGAGACAAATAAAAAATAAGAATAAGAAGAGGGTGCAGTTGCCGAATCGTTGGTTAACGGTGAGAATGGAGTCACCAAATCCCTAGATAAGGATAAGGGTGTTGTCGACGATTCACTGGTTTGGAATGAGGGTGTAGTCGCTGGATC